AACCAGGCCAAACTCTAGCCACCCATCCTTAGGTCAGCCCGTGTGGAGCCCAGTGTAAACCGAAGTCATAGCTCTCAACCTGTCACAGTCACAGCCCAAGAGTCAAGCCTGTGTCTGTGCTGTTATCTGCTGTTTCCTGTCCTCCGTCAACATTGATATCCTTCACCCACCCACCTGGCAACCATGGCCACTGAGGCTGCAGATTCCAGGGACCCCCTTGCCCTACCTTGCTGGCCAAGATGCGGGAGACCTCATCATCCACAGAGCCAGGGGCCACAACCAGGTCAGGGTTGCTGCTGCTAATGCTCTTAGAGCGAGCCAGGTAGAGGCTTGCAGGGCGGCCAGGGCCACGGGCCAATGTGGCAGGCTGCACTGTCACCGGAGGGGTCCCTGAGCATGGAGGGTATAGGGTCAGCCACCTGCCTACCCACCCTGATGACCTGCCCCGTCCCAGTGGGCTGCCTTTGGCAAAGTCATTTTCTTTTTCTGAGCCTCCAGGTTCTTCACCTGTAAAATGGGTGTGATGATGGCTACTGCCTCATAACAACTTTGGGGAGACTACAAAACACTGAGAACAGTGCCTGGCACATAGTAAGTGCCCAGAGTGGGTAATGGTTATTATTATTTAGCAAATGAGGGGAAAAAAATCCAGCTTTATTGAGTATTCACTGTACCAAGCCTTTTGCATGGATTACTATGCCATCTACTGTTACCAGCACCCTCAGGAAAGCAGGGCACATTATTGATGTTTTACAAACTGGAAAACAGGCTCAGAGAGAAGTCACTTGTCCAGGGTTACAGAACTTATAGGAGGCAGAACTGGGTTTAAATCCCAGGTAACCCTGTGAGTCCCTGCTTGCTGATTGGCTGAATCACTGGCCAGCAAGTATGCAGACACCACACCCCTGGAGGGTGGAGCAAAAAGTGACATTTCTTGCAAGTTGCCCAAACCAGCCAAAGCCTGTGTGGCCTCAGAAACTTTGCACATGCTGTTCCCTTTGTCTAGGATGCTCTCCTCCCAGAGATATCCTGTCCTCCATATTCTCCCACCAATACTCACCACCCAGGAGGCTGGGCTCGGTGCCAGGCAGTCGGAAGGCATAGTAGACATAGGCAGCCAGCAGTAGGCAGTGACCACGGACATCCTGAGCAGCCTCTAGACTCCGATGGATGAGGCTGACTACATGGGCCATTGCTTCAAAAGCTCCACGACCCAAGTTCACTGCCGGGCAGAACAGAGGTCAAGTTCCAGGGCCCAGGGCCTCCTACCTTCCTGAGAGAGATTTTAGGGTCCAACGGATCATGTGGCCATCAAAGGGTCACAGAGGACCAGCTCTCAGCTCAATGGGTTGAGGTCATTTTCCAGATGGGAAAACTGAGGCCAGAAAGATAAATGGACTAGGGGAAGTCACCTAGGATCAGGGCACTGAGGGGCCATTTTCCAGATGGGGAAACTGAGGTCTGAAGCTGTGCCTGCTCACCGATCTGGCCGCCAATGATTGGGGGCCGCACAACCAGACGTACGAGCTTGTCCAGCACGTGGTGAGAGAAGGCAACAAGGAACTCAGGGCTTGTGAGGCGCAGGGCTGCCAGGCTGGCCCGCAGTTCCTGCTCCACAGTGCCCTCGCTCAGCACAACGTCCTTGAGACGGAATGGGAAGGCGCCTTCCTCCAGGACATGCACCAGGGTGAAGAACTTGTCCAAGTATGGGTCCTGGGTAGGAGATCAGGGGTGAGTGGGGAGGGCCCAGGGACACTGGTCCAGGAAGCCCCAGGGCATTGAGCTGAGGCTGAATGTGCAGAGACACTAAGGCCAAGGATCAGTGAATTGATAATAAATAAGGACAGGGATGAGACACTAGATGAAGGGAGGAGAGAGGGAGTAACCACAGAAATAGCAGGGGACAAACGGGGGGAAAGAGAGACCAAGCAAAGAGCCAAAGCCGCTAGGGTGGCCAGTGGCAATGCTGCCCTGCCGAGTCAGCAGCTTCCTGGGAGACAGGTCCAGCTGACTGAAGTCATGTCCATGGCCCAAGGCCAGGCCTCTCCCTGATCAGTGGGAACTGTTGCCCAACTCCTGGGTTTCCGTCCCAACACCTACCTGGGGGTGCACAGAGGACACAGCCATGAGCTCCACGCTGAACACGCCCTTGTGGCCGTCCACCCAGCGCATGCCCGGCAGCGCCACCTGTGGGAGGGACACACCAGTGGGCACCAACTGGCCCGCCCCCACTGACCAGGCTGCCAGCCCCAGCCATTTCAACTATTGCGACACCATAGCCTGAGCATGGCCCTGCCTGGGGGAGCAGCTGGGTACCCTGCCCCCAGCCCAGCCCAGAGATGGGGGTGGGGCAGTTGGGAGGGAGCACTGTTGGGTTCCACTGGGCGGGCTGAGAATGGAGACCCAGGGTGAACATTAATTGAAGGGAATGAATCAAGAAATAGCATAATGTTAGACTTGAGGCCCCAGAGGCATGAATGAACAGCTTGAAGGTACATAGGAGGGTGACAGAGCATTCACGGAGGAGGCTGGGATGACTGGCCTTGAAGTACTCCTGGGGGACAGTCATCAGGGAGGCAGGCAGGGCTTGGGAGACGAGAGTGCAGAGGCAGGGATGAGGCAGGAACAGTGGAGGACAGGGAGGGACACAAGGGGCAGTAGGACACACAGAGGCAATAACAGGGGTGATGAGGCAGTCAGGGGCTCTTGAGGCCCGACAGAAGACAAGGCTCCCAGGGGTGTTGATGGGAAGAAAGGCAGGGCATGAATGGGGGACCACAAGGAGAGTGGGGAACACTAACAGGAGTTGGTGAGGCACCAGGTGTTGGTGGGAAGGTGGGTAATGCATTCCTGGGGGCCCATGAGGCACAAGCCTGGGGAGCTAGGGGGGACCAGGGCACGTACATCAGGTGTGAGCACGGAGTAGCTGGGCGGGGGCTGGTCCACAGACACAGGGAGGCAGAAGGGGCCTGTCCTCAGGCGGCCATGCTGCAGCAGCGGGATCCACTAGGAAGAGGCTGGGGGTCAGGGGTGGGCCAGGCAGGGGCCAGGAGGGCTGAGGAGGGGCATGCAGGCTGGTGGGGGGCCTCACAGTAAAGCCCACAGGAGTCTCCAGGGCTGTGCCAGGCCGGGGCTGGCAGCTGACATGGTAGAAGGTGAAGAGCAGATGGTGGTTCTCGGTCACACAGGCTGGAAGATGCAGCTTGAACTCCTCATAGAACTCAGGGGACCTGGTAGGGCCAGACTGGCATTCAGCTGGGGACTGGGATTCCCCTTGCCTGCCCTACCCCCTTGGTCATGAGTACCACCAGTCCTGCAGACCCCACTGTCTCTGCTCTCTGCCTTGGGTTCCCCGACAAGCACTTCTAGAACCCGCCCCTCCCTCCCCTCTTCCTGCTCCTGTCCTGTCATCTGTCCCAGTCCCGACTCCACCTACTTGTTGTGATAGACCACCGGTGTGAAGGCCTCACGGGTGAATTCACTGCAGCTGGACTTGCCAAAGATGACCTGGAGGAGCAGGGCCATGAGGGGCCCAGCAGGGACACCTTACCCACCACTCCCCAGCCCAGCCACTGACCGGCAGGGCCTGGCTGGGGTCCTCGCCCGCCATGTACTGCACTCGCACAGTGAGGTTGCGCACGGAGCCCTGGCGGCTGCTGAAGTTGAGGCTGTGTGGGTACACATAGAGCAGGTTCCTGTGGGCACAGGGGTGGGGGCATCAAAGGGACAGAAGGGGCTGGGCTTACTGAAACAAGCCTGGCCTGGGACACAGGACAGTGGCCACATGCTGAGGCACTGAAGGCTGGATGAGGGGCAGTTAGGGGCACGGTCTGGAAATGTGACTGGCAGCGAGCTGGAGACAGATGAGCACCCTCAGAGCTTAGATGGGGAAACTTGCAGAGGGTGGAAACACAGAGGTCTCTGGGGGGCACTAATGAGGCATGGTGAGGCAAAGGGCAGGGGACAAATGGGTACTCAGGGCTGAGGTTCCCAGGTGGCCAATGGGTCAGGCATAAGCCCTGCCCAGGCTGACCTGCCCCTCACATGCTCAGGGGCCTGTCATCTCCTTCCCCCAGGAGAGGCCACTAGTTATATGACCTGTCTCTCAGGTAGAAAAATTGAGACTAGAGTCAGCGTAGGGGCTGGCCTGGGGCCAGAAGTCTGCCTCCTTCCCCAGGGGTAACTCTGTGCAAGCCCCAACCTCCCTCTGGGCTTGTTTCCCTAACTGTATAATGGGGGCATTGAGCCTCCCAGCTGAGCCTCCGTAACCATACCAAAGACGACAAACAGTGATGACAATGACTGCACCAATAACTAATGGGGCACCTGTGTGCCAGGCTCTGTTCTAAGCACTCAACATGAAAGAACTAACTTACTTCTCACAAGCTGCTTGTGAAGCAAAACTAATGTCACCCCATTTCACAAGCAAGGAAAGTGAGGCACTTGCCCACAGTTCTCCAGAGAGAAAACTGGCAGTTAGCACTGATCTGGGACATGTGTGGGTCTTGACGTCAGAGACTCTTTTAGGAGAGTCCCTGCCACCTGCACCCACCCACCCCCAGTTCTCAAGCAGGCCAACAAAGACGCCTGGCATCACTGGCTTGTGGGAAGGGCATGAGAACCTCTACTGCAATGACAGTGGAACAGCCCTGAGCAAACCAGCAGAACCCAAAGAAGCCTCCCAATTATTACCATTACTTGTGCCTATCCACAGGTGGGGAAGCCAAAGCTCAAAGCCCCATGGTTCCCCTGCAGGGCCTGGGCCTGTTCTCTCCCAGTGCCCCCAGCCCACACCTGGCCCTGAGCCCCAGCCAGCGTGATTGCAGCGTGGCCTAGCTAGACATTCACCTGATGCAACCATGCTGCCTCTGCCAGGCCCTTGCACAACACAGGCACCCGACTGGTTGGTTAACGATTGACAAGGAATTAAAGGGGTATTGGGGCATAAAAGGAGGCAGCAGTGTCTCCATGACTGCACCTCCAGCCACTCAGTCACGACCATGCTTGCACTGTGTCTGCTTTGTGCCCTGCTAATGATGGTTTGGCCTGCCTCTGCAGCCCCCGCAGGTAGCCTGGAGCTGGCACAGCATGAGGAGCTGACCCTGCTCTTCCATGGGTCCCTGCAGCTGGGCCAGGCCCTCAACGGTGTATACAGGGCCACAGATGCACGGTTGATGGAGGCCAGGCATAGCCTAGGCCTCTACAACCATGCACTGGGGCTCCTGGGGGAGGAGGTCGGCCAGGGCTGGGATGCAGCACAGGAGCTACGAGCAAGCTTATTGGAGATACAGGTGAGGACTGCAGTTTCTTACTTCCTGGGGTGGGTAATAATCTGCACTGGAATTATGTTTTAGGGTGACCAACTGTTTGGATTTACCCAGGAACAGAGGGTTCCTGAGATATAGTACTTTCAGCCTTAAAATCAGGCATGTCCCAGGCAAACAAAGACAAGTTGGTCATTCTACTAATGTCTCTCTAACTACTGACCAGATGGAAGAGGATGCTCTAAAGCGACAGGCAGAAGCCACGGCCCAGGCACTGGGGGAGGCAGCCCAGGGACAGCAGGTGCTGCGGGAGAGCATGAAACAGCTAGAAGACCGGCTGAGAAGTGTTTGGCTGGGCCGTGCCCACCAAGAATTTGAGGCCTTAAAGGTAAGGGGCTCCCAGCCCTGGGGAGTGGAGACCCTGATTCCCAGCCAGAACTTGCTTCTAGAGCAAGTCCTAGAGATGCCCCCCTATCTAGGTCAGCCTCCCAGCACCATGGCTTCTCCCTGTGTGACCCTGGGCAAAACCCACGTCCCTTTCCCTGTCTCAGTTTCTTCATTTGCAAATAAAGGCGACAATGATGCCTCAGAGTGCAGCCAGGGGCTTGATACAGATAAGATACTCAGCATGGGGCCAGGAAGATGCTAGGCACTCAATAAATGCTTTCTTTTAGGGTACCTGGTAACATTTCTTGAGTGTCCAGTAAATACCCAGCACTGTTTTGTGCCCTTTAATAATCCGTATCATGCTCATAATCCCACCAAGTGAGTCCCATTTCTTCTCCATTTTACAGATAGGGAAGTTGAGACCTGAGAGTGACAGTGATTTGCTGGGTCACACAGCTGCAATGGGAGTGGGGGACTGGATATGATCAGAGGATGGGAAGTGAGGTGGCCCCCAGCTGAGGTTTCTGTCTTGACCCCACAGGCCCGTGCTGACAAGCAGAGCCATATCATGTGGGCCCTCACGGGCCACGTGGAGCAACAGAGACGGGAGATGGTGGCACAGCAGCACCGGTTGCAACAGATCCAGGAGAGGTGAGCCTGGTGTGGGTTGGGCGTGCAGAGCAATTGGACTGGAGGTATGCAGGGTACTGGATGGGCCACCTCGCCACCCACCTGCCTTGGCTGAGCCTCATCTCCCTTCCAGACTCCACACAGCAGCGCTCCCAGCCTGAGCCTGCCTAGCAGAACTAAGGATCAGCCATGCACCTCGGGACGCTTCCACGCCCCATGTGGCCTCTGCACAGGGAGGAGCTGCCTGTCTGCTGGGGTCAGCCAGGCTGTCAGGCCCCGCTTCCGGCCACGGATCAGAGACAGAAGCAAGTGGGGACGAAGGTAGAAGACATGGCCCCACTGAGGGGGTGAAGGAAAGACATGTGTCCCTTCATACCTACACAAACATTAAAGCGAGTAGTGGCATCTCACCTTGGGTGTCTGTGTGTGTCTGGGAGAAAGGGGGCCTCACTTTGCATGATGCCTGAATGCCCCCCATTCAAGTGCCCAACTGGGCCCCAGAAGCTGTACCTGTAGCTTGTGTGGGGAGCATAGACCTCACGGGTGGGAAACTCCAGGATCTCCTTGGTGGGCCGGCCCCTGGGGTCAGGGTAGGGCTTGACATGAAGCAGTTCCGGGGATAGGCAGAAGTGGGGGTTCTCGGGGGCCGGGGAGATGTCGATCTTGAGCTGGGCTGGGGAGGAGGAGCCAGTTTGCACCTGCCTGGGAGCCTCTCGGCCAGGCCCCTCCCTCTCTGGGCTTTGGGATTAGGGCTCTGACTCTCCCACAATGTTCTCTCGTGGCTGTCCTTCAGGTAATAAGGCCAGAAATTGCCCTCAACTCCCATCTCTTACCCCCATATTTGATCAGCTCTGCCCTCAGGATTTATGTCCCGCCAGCCACTACATCCCCCCAGTGACCCAATATCTGTCTTATTTATTCTGTTTCTAATCTGTGGACCCCACTGAAAAGTCCAGCCCCTGATCAGGGATTTGTCTATCATGGTCACTGTTGAGACCCCAGGATCAGACACAGCAGGTGGTCAGTGTTTGCTGAATGACTGTATGACACCTCTTGCTTATGGAGTGCACCACGCACCAGTCACAGGCCGTAGTCGCCGTAGCAAGGATGATGGGCGCCGCATGTCAGCCAGGAACTTGAAGAGATCCTCATCACTGAGCCTCTCAGCTTCCTGCACCAGACACGCCCCCATGAGCTGGGTCCCCGGGGCCTGTGTGGCCACACGGGGGGTCCCTGGGCACCCCTCCCCTTGCCCTCTGCCCTGTGGCCAGACACCTGTTTAAAGAAATTGGTGACAGTTAGCGTAGCAGGGCGGAAGCTGGAGAAGCTACAGGCGTCGTCCCCGCTACTCGTCCGCTCTGGGGGCCCCCGACGGCGACGGTCAGTCCACGCAGGTCTGCGCTCTAGGGGAGGCAGTGACAGTGAGGGATGGAGAGGGACAGAGAAACTTGGAGACTCAGCCTGGTACAGAGTAGGCCAGCAGAGGGCGCCCTCCCTTTCCCCAGTAGTCCCGCCCCAGGGCCCTCAGCCCCGCCTCCTCACCACCCTCTGAGTCTGAGTCGCGGTCTGGCTGCCCAGCACTGCTGACGATGTTGGCTAAGTGCACGGCTGTCCAGGCGAATGGCATGCGGTAGCGGCCCAGGCGGGTGCAGAACTGCTCGGCCGCTAGGCGAAGCTTCTCCAGCTTCTCTTTGTTCTGTGGGGAGACCCTCCAACATCCACAAACTCAGTGCCCCAGGCCTGCGGAATGCAGGATCTGCCCTGCCAGGTAGCCCATTCACCACCAGGTCCAGCTTCCACCCCCTTACCTTAGCTGTGTCCACTTCCTTCATCACCATGTAGGGCTCACAGCACTCACTGATGTCCCCCTGCTGTAATACCTTCTCCAACTGAGGGACAGACAGGCCCAGTGAGGTGCTGTGGGAGCCTAACCTTCCCACCTTACCCCCAACCTCCTGGACCTCTCATGAGCCCCCAGACACCCCATCCACTAGAGCTCTTGTTCTAACACCTCCCATGGCTCCCACTGTCATTGGGACTGAGTGCTAGCAGTTGACCTGCCTGGCCAGCTGCCCTTCCCCACCTTTGAACCCACCCCAAAGCCAAGGCTCTATATTTTCCCTGCATCTACAGTTCTTTGTCAGTATAAACAGAGGCCACTCCAAGCATGGCTCTGGGCCACAAAAACTGGACTTCAACCCCGACCACTCTGGGCCATGGGATCCTAGTTTCCCCCCCTGTGAAATGGAACCACGGCAACCCCTACCTCCCAGGGCAGCTGTGAGGACTAAAGGCGGAAATTCCTGTGACACCTGACTGACAGTGAGCAAGTGCCTGCATATAGGTGCTCAATTAATGTCACTAGTATAACCTAACTGAATGTTTTGGGAAGGGAAATTTGAGCTCACTTTGGGAAACAGAAAATCCCAAATAAATGTGTCAACTAGGTCTTTCCTTCCCTAAACTGAAAAACTCTCAACTTAAAAAAATATTTTAGGCCCTGGCCAGTTTGGTTCAGTGGTTAGAGCGTCGGTCTGCAGTCCAGAGAGACTCGGGTTCAGTTCCCGCTAAGGGCATGTACCTCGGTTGCAGTCTGTCCCCAGCCCCAGTTGGGGTCGTGTGGGTGGCAACCACTCGATGTGTCTTTCTCACATCAATGTTTCTTTCTCTCTCTCTCTTCCCCTCTCTCCCTCCCACTCTATCTGAACAAAAAATGGGAAAATGTCCTCGGGAGAGGATAAAAAAAATAATAATAATAAATATATATATATATATATATTTTAGGACCTGGCTGGGTAGCTTGGTTTGTTAGAGCATTGTCCCAATACACCAACACTGTGGGTTCGATCCCATCAGGGCACATACAAGAATCAACCGGTGAATGCATTAACGGGTGAAACAACAAATCGATGTTTCTCTCTCTCTCTCAAATCAATAAGTGGGAATGAATATAAATATATATATATATTTAACATCTGTCCCCCTATGCCAGGATGCCATTTCTCTACAGACTGCCCACTCATGGGTCTTGGCCCAACTGTCACCTCCCAACGGATGCCTCAGTGATTTCTCTCCACCTGGGTTGGGTCAGGAGCCTCCTCCAGGATTGCCCCACTGCCTGTGATTCTGCCATAAGAGGCCTGATCACCGTTCTTGGGATATCTGTGTTCTTCCATGAGAGCAAGGACTACGCCTGTAGTATTCACTGTTACCCCACCCTTGCCCAGCCCCAGTGGCACCTTGATGACCAGGAAGATGTCGGGCGAGGGATAGGTCACGGAGAAGATGGCAGAGCGGGCCAGGGTGGAGATGGCCGGGTGAGTGCTGTGGGCTCGCAGCAATCCCTTCATGGAGTCTGAGTTCAGGTCAAAGTAGAAGTTCTCCGAGATCTGGGGGCACAAGAGGCAGCTGGACCACCACCTCCAGGAAGTCCACAGCCTTGCACCAAGGAGGGGAGGAAGGGAGGAAGGGGAAGAAAGGGGCTCCTACCTTCTTTTTCTCCCGCACATCATACAAGGCCAAGATGCCAAAGATGGGCTCAATCTCGATCTCGAACCTGTGGGTGAATGGGGCCATCTGGCAGAAGCTGCACCTGACACTCCCACCACCCACACTCCCACTCTTTCTTGAAACCCAACCCAGCCTTGTGCAGCATGGGGAGCAACTAGTTCCCATTGGGCCACATGGAACCACCACTTAAGGGCTTGCAGAAAAGACCTGTTCCATTTTGCAAAAGAAGTAACTGAGGCACTGGTTTTTTCTTCTTTCCTCTGTCAGTAAGTAACTCACACAGAACCCCTCCCCCAAATATCATGGCCCTTGCTCATTTGGCACAGAGATGGCTTTTGGCACAACACCCCCACCCCCCAGCTTAAAATTCTCAACTCCTGGGTCTCCCTGTCTCCCCTTTCTGGGTGTCCTCTGCCACCTGTGCCACCCTGGGCTGAGTTCCATCTGCACTCACCTGAATGATCACTGTAACCGCTTCCCTGTCTTACTCTGCCTTGCTGGCACCCACTCACCACCTGCCTTCTAAGGAAGCATCTTAAAACTTAAATTGTTTTTTATCCTCACCGAAGGACATTTTTTCCATTGATTTTGAGAGAGTGGAAGGGAGGGAGTGGGGGAGACAGAAACATTGATGTGAGAGAGACACTGATTGATTGCCTTCCATATGTACCCCGACTAGGGCCGAGGAATCGAACCTACAACCCAGGTATATGTCCTCAACTGGGAATTGAACCCATGATCATTTGGTGTGTGGGCCGATGCTCTAACCACTAAGCAACACCGGCCAGGGCTTAAATTTTAAATGTTGAGGCTTCCCACTGCCCTGAGAACAAATTCCCGCATGGCCCCGCCCCGCCCCACCTCTTGATTTCATTTTCCCCCTCTCCAGACATCTCCCTGCCTTTGTGTGTGCTGTGTCCCCCACCTAGAGAGCCCTGTGTAGTCATCCCACAATTACATGCCCTGTACACAGTAGGCACTCAATGAGTGCTGAATGACTAGATGAACCCACAGAACTCCCAACCCTTGTGCTTGGAGCCCACCCGGGCCTCAAGCCAGACCAGGCCTCCCTTTCCTGCCCTGTCCAAGCAGGAACTCAGGATGGAAAGGGGCAGGGCTAGGCTCAGGTCCAAGGCCACATCCTGTTTAGCTCCATTCCCACGCATTTTTGGCTGCTCCCTAGGGGACTGATGTGGAAGGGGCCTCAAGCCCCAGGGTCATCAGGGCCCCCTCCACCTGCATCCCAGCAACAGAGTGGGAGTGTGCTAGACTCTGACCTAACAAGTTGTGTGATTTTAGGCACAATGACTTCGTCACTCTGTGCCTCGGCGTCCCCACTTGGGCCCACTTCACAAGGTTGTAGTGAAGATTAGAGTTAATCCACGTGAAGGGCTGAGAACAGAGCCTGGCACACAGCATTTAAGGATTGGTGGCTTCGAATAATAAAAAAGGAAGTCTTATATCCCGTCTAAAAGCCCATGGCCTCACGGGCCTCGTGGCTGCGCGTGGTAATGGCACGGCTCTCACGGTGAGCGCCCAGTGTGTGCCACACCATAATCTATCTATCCAATCCCTCGCATGTCTGAAGGGGGGAGCAGGTAAGCACACTCACTTAAGTGACAGACACTTGACCAGGATCCTCTGTCCGAAGTGTTCACAAGGCGGTTCCGGGTGGCTGCAGCGTTCCACGGCCTCATCCTGCCAAGAACCAGGGGGAGGGGGAGAAGCTGGGACACATCCTCCAAGAAGAGCTTAGAATACACAGCCTGAGACAAATCTACCCCCAGCCTGACTAAACTTGAAGTCCCTTGCCTCTGAGCTTTTGTACATGCTGTTCCCCTGCCTGTAATGCCTTTGCTCTCCCTTCTTCCTTATCTGGCC